CTTTCCCCCCCCCCCCCCCCGCCCCGTTCTCAAACTCCCAGAGAGTTTGAAGAGTTAGAAAAATCCTGTTTCTCTCCGAGAAATCTTTTTACAAAATACTTTTTTCTTTCATCTGTTTTGATCTTTTTTCTCTCTTGTCATCGTGGGAACAAAAAAATTCATATGTGGAATAAGAAAAGTCGACCTATTTTTTATCAAACCGAGTTAAATAAAGGTGTTTATAGAATCAAATATATGGAAATGAAGGACTTTATTTTTAACAAAATGATAAAAAAAATGTTTGATTGCTTTTATTTTATGTATTCTACATATGAATGTATATGTTTATCATATATATTTGTATTCATATAAATGTATTAGCTCTGTGTATATTCATTTCTACTTGTATACACGTGTATACTGCTACTAGTACTCTAGTACTACTTCAACTACTGCACTGGTTGTCATCAATCAGCTGCTCCGTCTAATCTTTCGCTGAAACCTCACAGCAGGATCCAAAAATATTTGCCTCCACCGTGGGCTGAAGTACCTCCAGGACAGTTGCCCCCGCAGCTCCACCAGCTGCTGCTCTCTCACCTCCTTCTGCAGCAGCAGCAGGAGGAGGAGGAGGAACTGTCCTCCACTGTGTTGTTTCTGTGAGGTGACGTCTGACCGTTCTCTCTCTCTCTCTCTCTCTCTGACTCCACAGAACGGCGAGGCGTCGCTCTTTGAGGTGAACATCCGTTATGTTGGCGGCCTGTTGGCGGCGTACTACCTGACAGGAGAGGAGGTGAGATGAACAGATCTTTCTGTCTCGGGGAGGTCTGTGTCCGGGGGGCGGGGGGAGGGGGGTTCCCAACATAATATATTTGTTAATTATCCCGCAACAAATAATGTAGTATTACAGTATACTTTTCATCACAATACACTGACATACATACGTAGTAGTATTTAAATATTTTACAAAATGAAGGGTTGACAAATTTGATTCATATTCATATGCGGTCAGTGGTGCCTAGGGAATCGGACTGGAGTCCGGAAGGTCAGAGGTTTGAATCCATCAGCCCCCAAAATGCCACTGAGGTGCATTGAGTATGGCAACCCTCCCCCCCCCCCCCCCCCACTATATATAAAAAGAGTTAAATGGTGATTCTACTGCAGAGGTCACATTGTCATAATTCAGTTTCACTTTCACTTCAGTTCGTACATTAACTGATTGGCACGACCTCACAGGAAGTCACTGTGTTTGGCTCCGCAGCCCCTGGTGGTACATTAATGAATAACAGATTTGGGTGGCTTGAAATAGTGCCCCCTGGAGGCACATCAGATTGTGGCAAAAAGATCAACCATCGTCCAGGTTCATGATGGTGAAGTGGTTGTCAGTGGTTGTGGGTGAGGTTGGTGGGTGAGGTTGGTGGGTGAGGTTGGTGGGTGAGGATGACTGGTCGTGGAAGGATGGAGGTCCAGGTTAGACCACAGGACAAACTCTCTTGTTAAAGAGAGCAGAGCTTCATGAACAGACCTTCGTCAGTCGGTGGTGATGTCACCGTAACGAGCGTCTGCCTGTAGCAGCCTCCTGGAGGAGACGGCTGATTTGACACTTGTCCTTTTTAGAGCTGCTCAGCTGACGAGACGGTCGGAGGCTCAGGTCGGTCGGTCATCGATTTGCAGATGCAGGGAGTTTAGGAGAGAGCGGCATAAAAAAACTGAAATATGAACAGATTTCTGATCTCAGTACGAGGCCGTACTCCATCATTAAAATGGTAAAATACTGCGTCAGTTACTGCGTCAGTTACTGCATCAGTTACTGCATCAGTTACTGCGTCAGTTACTGCATCAGTTACTGCGTTATCTCACGTCACACAAGGACGTTCAGACGAGCCAAAGTCAATGTAGGAAAAAGAAACACAAAGTCTGTACGACCCTTTTTTATTTTTATTTTTATTTATTCCCGTGACCTCCTGTTGTGTGGTTGGAGCTGAAACCTATTCCTCTGGGGTTTTTTTTCTCTGTGTTCTCCTCCCAGACGTGCATTATTCACAGAAGATGGAGAACGTCGTCCCCGTTTCCTGACAAACCCATTGAAACTCTTTACTCTGGTGCCGTTATCCATCACATGACTCGCTCATGTGATGTTTGTGAAGGGTCTCGGCGAGTGAGATTTATAGCCGCGCCGTCGCTGGTCTGAGAAACAAGAAATAAGAATGAATTTCTCCATGACAGAAAAAAAACAAAAAAACAACTGGAACAAGGAAACGTAAGAATTCTACAGATGTATAAAAGAAAACCCCTGATTGGAGAAGCTAATTTGGCTAATTAGGTGTGCTACAGTTAGCCATCTGTTTCTCTTTCGATGCTTCATACACATGATCTGTGGGTTCTTCACTGGTTTTCTAAACTTTCTAAAGGAGTTGGGTGAGACAGCGCCACATACAGGCCTAGCATATGTACTACAGGGATCGGAGATGTATTCTGTATGAACGTTCCATATTCATAGGGCCTAGAGGGAATGAGGGATGTTCCTCATTTGTTCTGGGAAGACTGGTCCAGTGGTAATCTCTGACTGACACGCAGTAGAACCTCGGTCCAAATCCTCTGAGAACCCTGATACATAATTGAGAGTTGTACAAGAGAGCAGAAGAAGAAGAGGAGGAAGAAGAGGAAGTGAATCAGTTCAGTCTGCCTGAACAGAAAATTACCTTTGGGAAGAACTGAAGCCACAGAGACGGGGGT